CCCCAAAACCCCAAAACCCCAAAACCCCTTATTTTTTATTTCAAATTGAAAATAAAGATTATAAAGGTAACCCATTTTTGAGCGAAATTTTATTCTCGTTGCAAAGCCCAAGGGCATTTACTATTTAAGTTAGGATATGAACCAGAACGGTAGTAAAATCGGTTGGGTTGGATAGATAATGCATGCTTACTTGAAACTGGCTTTGAGGAGAAAGCTAGTTATATTTGGCAATGCTACTTTATTTATTTACTCATACGATAAATCCTTGATTATTAGCTCAGCCCTTAGAGCTCTCTAAGTGTTTATATATAGTCAAAGCAAGATATGCAGAGTAGGAAATATAGCATACCTAAAAAATTTAAAAAGCCAAGAAAGATTAAAGACAGAGCACTGGATGTTGGATTTAACAGCAAAGAAAATAAAGCTGTCTTCTACTACAATTCAAATGATGACCTTCAGGTGAAAATGGTTAATTCAATTTCCAATCTCAACAGCCTGGTCGGGGATTATGAAAACTTGCTTCACCAGGACTCACGCCAACAAGTAGTTGGGGAAGGTACTCAAATTCCAAAATAATTTATAGCTCAATTTAAAGAAATGGAGGAGTTTATCGCAAACGGATATTACAAAATCCAGAATGCACTTTTCACCTCCCAAAAGAGGATAGATGAACTTCTGGAGCCTCTTTCGGACCACAAGTCTTACCCAGGGATCCCTTCTAACAATAAAGACACAATTGATTCGGTCTCAAGGCATCTAAAATAACTCCTTAATCGACCTCCAAAAAGTGCACACAAAACAAAATATGATTCTTGGACATTTCAAAGATATTACTGGAAAATTCAACTCTATTGCAAATCCTAAAACCACTAAAGACTTCGGATGTCAAACAGATATCGAAACAAGAGAGAGCATCTTTGACCCTGACATCCATCCTGCTTCAACAAAAGTGACCGAAGCCAAGAATGAAATTGTGAAGGATTACAGTAAATTTTATGCTAAAACATAGTGAATGAGTACAAATTCAAGATATTTCATTTAATCAACAATCCCCTCGTCGTAGTAGACATCACGAGTAAGAACAAGCTCCTCGAGCCATTCATTTACCAAGAGAAGAAAGATATCAGGGTATTTTTCACCTTCATTCTTAGGACAACTCCGCTTATATGTACAAAATTGAAGGAGACCTGAAAACAGTCAACAAAAAGCTAGAGCAGATCAAGATTGAAGTATCAAAATAACAATAGGAAGAAAGCTGAAGAGAGTATTCTACCAGTGAGCCATCTGTCTGTTGATTCTGCTCAGAATGAAGACCTCCACTCCTCAATGACTAGTCTGCCAAATATTAAGTCTATTCCTAAACATTATAATGGGTTTAAGAGCAACGAATCGAGAACTTATGCTTTGGTAATCATGTTCCTAAAATTTTAGACGAGCAGAAAGATAGTAAATAATTTAGCCAAAGACAAAGACAAATTCTTAGATAAGCTCATCTCTAATGCTGAAAGGGAAAAGCAAGGTCGTAATGACCCTTTCTTGGGACCTAGACCCGACAGACTCCACAGAAGGGGAGATTCACTCCAATTTTCAGATTTTAGAGTCAAAAAGAGTGTTATTAAGGGTAATATTGACAGCATGAAACACTTTAAGAGGCAAAAAGAGGTTCTTCCAAATATTTCCCAAATTGATAAAAGCGTTAGCTCTATTAACCTCAGACCAAAATATCAACGAAATCAATCTGTCCTGAGATCTCTTGATAGAACTATAGATAATGGGAAGACTGCTCTCAATATCTTTAATGACCCAATCATTAGTATGAAACTGACATTTCCCAGTTTTGAAACTATAAAACCAAGACTTTTAAAACCCTTCCTTGAACTTGGGTCTGAAGAAGAGCTGAGATTAAGGGAAACATTTGAGAAGTTGAACCTTTACCCGGAAATAAGCCAGCTAATTATAGATGACTTGATCTCAAAATACTGTGGGGTGCTAGACAATGCTGATTCATACAAATCTATTGTAGACATTTGCTCGACTATTTTTCACTACCTAGATATATTATACGAAATCTTCGTTTCGTACAACATTCCGTACTGTACTGACATAAACTCAATGAAGAAAATGAGCTGGCCTCCTTTCAAGAGATTCTGACAGGATATTGGTTATGAAGAGTTAGGCCCATACTTCTTCTACATTTCCACGATTGTAGACAAGACTCTCTCTCCTGATATCTGAGGGGAAACTTTGTCTGAACAGCAAAAGTGGTGTCTCAAAAGAATAGAGAAAAGTCTACACTCTGAGTATCAGATAAAGATAACTTTTACCAATTTTATTGAAGCCCTTGTCCGCATGAGCGACCATGTCTGTGAAATAGACCAAAAATTAAGCGATAAAATAATCGGATTTATAGAATCTGCAACAAAAGATACACAAAGGTATGCACAAATGCATGTTTTTTAGCTATTTCATAATTTTCAGATCAAAATTTACACATCTGACTCTTTTAAAAATAGGTCTTTGGTATTTTCATACAAGTTCTACCTCTTTGAAAAAGAGTTCAGAGTAGTGATCCAGAAATATACCCCTGTTTTACTCAAAATATACCACAAAGAGTTGGAAAATAGACTCATAAACGTAGATGAAAGTGAGCCTGGAGGGAGACACTGCCTCATGAATTTCAGAATCCTCGTTTCCCTACTCAAGAAGTGGCAGTTCTGCAATGAAGATATAAAAGAGACCCATAATTTGACAGAAGAAGATCTTATTAATGAAAATAGGGAGAATACACCTCTTATTGGGGACAGAGACAGGAAGGAACCATACTCTGGAACTTTAAGATACTCTCATATTATAGAACTGTTCTACGCTTCCCTGAAGCATCGAAACTACTTACATCTAGACCGTACTCTGCGAAATGAAGGAATAGGACTCAGCTGCTTTGAGTTCATCGACTTTGTAACCTTCCTTGGCATCTACATGTGGAGAGTCAACGAAATCTACTTCGATCTTGAGCCCTATCAAGCCCTCGAAAAGACCTTTATCAAAGTACTAACCCCCTAAAACTCTAGGTCAAAACATCATCAATAAAGTACAATATAATCCAAAGATCAACACCTTGTTCCGAATTTGATAGCCCTTACCAAAACCCCACCTCAAAATTCCCCCAAGAACCTCCAAATCTAGACCCTAAACCTCCCAAACAAGACGGTAAATGCCCTCCAAATCCTTTAGATTTCAAACAAAAAACTGAGTCAAGCAAGAGTCTTTTTGACCGGCTCAAAATCCAGCACCAAAAGAAAAGAAATAAACTTACTGATTAAAATAATGGGGTTCTGACTAATTTGACTTTTTTGGGATTTTGGGGTTTTGGGGTTTTGGGGTTTTGGGGTTTTGGGGTTTTGGG